TGTAGTGAGAGACAAAGGCCATTTGCACATTCAGGTCTGCGGGTAATGGTCTCATTTATCCCTGCGCCTTCCCAGCAGTCTCAGACATGCCTTTCTATTCCTTTGTGGGTCCCGGTCTGCCTTGCAGACTCTCCCCATCAAACTCTACTGTTCCTTTCCCACTTTTTCCTCCCCTTTCCTGCCCCTTTCTCCTGTGCATTGCTGTCGCAGGATTACTGACTTTGGGGATCATTTTTGTTGGTCTGGTTTTGCTGATAGGTTTTGTCATGTGTGAGAGGACCTCTTTGGCTTCAGGCAGATGTACAGCTCCTGTCCGTCTGTCAAGAAGATGCATGAGGAATAAGCAAGATTACTAAATACAGTTTACTATCTGCAATGACTAAATGCCAAATGCAGATACAAATTGTAGTGCACTTAGAAAGCTGATTAATTAAAAACCCTGGCACTGCAGACAAATGGTCAAGTTTTGGATGTTACTTTGTCAGTATCATCTTACTCTTCCTAGACTCAGGGCAGATTATCATCAAGAATTTTTCAGCCTCCTCTATTGAAGTTTTCTTAAGCATTTTAGTAGTTTGAAACAATACTTTTTCTGCAGCACTGTTTTCTAATGATACCAATTCTCTTAGTCACAATTTACCATGGTGCTATATAGATTTCCCACCTGAAGAAGACAAAAAGGGAGGAAGAAAAAGTAATATACATCTTTATAAATTATTATATTCTGTGCTTTATTTGTTGAAATGAAGGCTGTGTGATGAATGCTGCTGCATGACTGTGTAGTTCATCAACTTACCACAAACCCCCACAGCTAACATTTGTATTGCAATACTATCCCCAGGCCTCCAGTGTGGCAGCCCCCCATGCTAAATGCTGTACACATATAATGAGTGACAGGCCATTCCTCAAAGACTGTATGAGATAGACTCAAGAGACTCCTACTAATCAAAGATGTCTCCTTTCTCCAAATGGATGAACAACACATTTTGTTTCTGTGATACGTGTAGCTACAGAAACTCTGGGGAGGCAGGAGGAGGACACTTTTTATGATGCTATAGGTAGAGGCTGAAGAAAGAAGTCTGCCTTTACAGGACACAGAAGTGGATAGCACTAGAAGAATCTGGAAATAGCTGAAAGCTATCTTCCTGTGGTATGGGTGGAGTACAGACTTCTGTGGCACAGCAGGATGGTTTCATTGCCCCTCTTTCAGGATAACTTATTTGCCTCTTGCCTGTCTTTGCCACTTACCAATAGTTTAGTCCCGAAGTTCCTGCTGATACAGAATATATGTAGAGAGTTACAGGATCAAATACACAACCTATCAATAGGTGTTTGAATACAACTCATTCTTTTAATATACATAGTTACTAAAATATAATAATTCATGTGAGAGTTATGAAAATATGTATCTGTATAACATCTGCACTGACTAGGTAATGTAAGGATGTAATACTTGATCTCAACTTCAAAATTTTATTTTAAAAGTGTATTCAAATCTGATGCAGTTTGGTACTTCCGTCTTGGCAAGATACATCATAACCTAGTCTGGAAAGAGTAGAAAAATTGGGAAGACTGTCAAAAGGTTCCTGTTACATGTGATTTATATATCCAGTTGAAATACAGGCCACCTTCTATTCAGGTCAATGTGAACACCTCCATTGAGCTCAAAATGGGCAATATGACCTCCGAACAAGATATTACAGAATGGTTAAGCAAATGACAAAAAGGCGAGTTGAAAACTGCCTAGTATAATTGGACAGTGCTTTGGGGGACATACTTTAGATACCTTGAAGTAGAGCTCTGTGCTGAGTAAAACATCCTTATTGCAAAGATTTTGCTCTTAAGACACGGGGAAGAAATCTGTAGGCATAAGAAGATGCACACATTACAACAGCAGGTCATGTCACAAGCTACCATAATAAATGGCATAGTTTCTTTGGCTTTGGCAGCTTTCATGAAGCTTTCGTGACTTCATGTGAGCAACGAGAATTTCTACCACTAAGATACTATCCATTGCATGTTTCTGAACTGTATGAGGTACAGTCAAGTTGTGAGATAGCTAATACTAATGTGGAATTTTGGGGAAAAAAGCTTGTTGATCACCACTGGGGAGCCAGTTAGGTGTTTAAACACGTGTGTCTAGTGCCACTTTAAAATTCCTTAGGATTTCTCAAGATGGTCGCCAAGATGACTCTTCAAGATGACCATAGAAAGGATGCAAAGGAAGGACGTGATAACTGCCAGCTCATCTGACTACAATAGTACTTAATAGCTGCTAGTAGGATCCCAAACCCCACTGCTGCCCTCCCATGCAGAAGAAAGAAAAATGCTCCTAAGTGCTAAACAGCAGCTCAGCAAAAGCATGCAAGTGTGAGTGGAGGAAGTTATATATAGGGGGAATATTTAAGTTGAAAGAATAAAGATTGGGAGGAGAAAGAAATAAGAGGGATGGCTTGGTGGAGGAAGGAATAGCATGGAGCGGATGTTCCTTTTGTGGCATATATAATACTACCACTACAAAATCTGCTTCAGAGAGGGACATGGCCTGGCCAGACAGGGAGCTGCTGCTGTTGGTGATGCTGACAGCACTGGCTAGCAAATAAAGTGTGGTAAGAGGGCATAGCACAGAAAATGAAACAGTGTCAAGGGAATGAGATATAGCTGTAAAATGAGAAAAAAGACATTCAAGTCCATCCCATTTTACACAGATTACAGTGGGAGAATGGTGTTTTCTGATGATATGAGCCAGTGCTCACAAGTCTTGCCTGATGGACACCAGCCCATGTTCCGGAGGCAGAAACCAGCCTGACCTTGCCCTGTGTTTATTCCTGTGATTCCTAGTCACTTGTATCTGTTCTGTTACTTTCCAGACAGGTGCCAGTAAAATGAAGGTGGCTGACGCTCTTTTAAATAGTTTTTAAACTGGATTTCCTCCTTTAATTTTGTTGGGTTTAAGGAATGGTATTTACATATTGACTTATACAGAGATGCTCGAATACCGTACTAGAGGACCTCAGTGATTCATACAAATAGCTTTTGGACTCACTAAGAAGGAAGACAACCAAACATGCTAATAACAGCAAGCATCAAGAGCCACAAAATATTGCCTGAGACTTGTACCTTAATTCCAACTGTATCATCACTAAGCTCTTTAAAGGCTACTGCAATATCCAAAATGCCATAAAAATCTTTTGACTCTGTCTTGCTTAAAATTAGTGAATCCTTTGTACTGTGGTGACAGCTGCCTATGAGCTAGAAAATTGCAAATCAGTTTAGCACAGGGTGATCAGGTACAATAATTAACAATTTTACCAAAGTATGTCAGAGACTAAGAAATGAGAGTGAAATCCTGATCCTAGTGAAACCAGTATTCTCGGGGAGTTAAGGGGTCAGCTTTTCACTCTCCAAGTTTTATATCATCTGGATAAAGATTTTTTAATATGATTGCATAAATAATATAACTGTATTGGTCTCTTGGCAAAAAGTATTTGTTTATATGAATAGCTGTTATAAAAGTGTGTCAAGAGTAAATGTTCCAAAGAACATGCATGATGCTGTAACAAAAAAATCTATTATAATATCTCATTTTCTATTAGGTAACTGTAAAATATTTTACTCTTTCTGGTTTTTGTTTTTGTTTTGCAATTCGTTTGGTTCCCAAAGCATTTAAAACTGAACCCAGGACTTAAGCAATGTACAGATACTCGCTATGACTGAATCTTATTTAACCTGGTGAGAGGCTTTCAAAGAGCTGGTCCCTACCAGTGATCCCAGTAGTATGGACATTATTGCTGATACTCTACAGTCTGGGGTGATACAGGCTAGCGTTTGTAGTCCTGGATCAGATTTCCCACAGTGGTTCATCCTCTTAAGTTCTTTTGAGGTGTAGCTCACCCAGATGCTCTGTTTCCACTTGTGGTTCACAGTTGCTACTAATGAATTGAGTTTATTTCTTAAAAACCAGCTTGCACTGCTGGATGTTAATGTCTCTTCTGGCATTGCTGTTTCTAAGCAACAAACAAAGTCTGCAACCCAAACCCAGAGTAAAAGTAACAGGGAAGTGAAAGCGTATGAGCTATGAGAAACTATCCAGAATTAATTCTATCTGGAAGTATCCTAATAACAGTAGCTCCTTCACTCACAGCCTCAACTCATTCCACCCGGAAAAAATTAAAGTTGGAAGCAAAGCACTCTTAGGGCTCAAATGCAAGCAGACAGATGGAACTGCAGTGTAAATACAGGCAGACTGACAAGGCACAAAGATGCTTTAGAAATAACTTCTAGTAGCAGAAGTCTACCAACAGGGAAAGGTCATTTGTAAGCTTTGTTTAGAACAAGGAAAGACTAAACACTGTGTGGAGCTCTGTGGCTTTCTAAGACAGAAGAGGTTTTCCACAGGCCACCAACTCCTTCTTTGGGAAACATGGACAAGATATTTCAGAAGTCCTGTCTAAAAACATGAAGCATGTAGAAAGTAATACAAGAATCTATTGAGTCAAAGGTGGCTTGTAACAGGGAAGTTTACTCATCTTCCTCAGCAATGATATTACATAAGTAAATGGAAGGGATATTGGAGAGACCGCACATGCTGAGAACTGCAAAAGCCAATTGGCTTCTTTAGCTTATCACTTACAAGTAAGTGGATGGGGTTCTACTTCTATGGTTTTGCTTTGTGTTCTGTTACCAATTCTCATGGAATTAGAAACACTCTTCTTCAACAGCCATCTCCTTTGGAAAAGTTTCCTTTCCTCCCCTCTTTAGTTTCTGCATGTCCAGGGGTGGAATCTCTCCACTTTAACCAGAGCACTGGCTGGAAAAAGATGAGCCTGAATGTGTGAGCACGAATGACTACCAGGCTTTTCATGACACCAGTAACCCTGGAAAGCTGTGTCTGTCACTAGAGCTGGCAGAAGAAAGCTTTTATAGCCCTTCTGTGGCTTGGTTTTGATAAAGTAGCTGCTACCTTACACTCGTACTTCATGCCATCCTTTGTGTTGCAGGAGGTGTACTTAAATCATGGAAAAAGCAAGATCTGTATCTGCTGGGTGCCAGTATTCAAATAACACTCAGAACAATCTCTGCTGTGCAATGTACATAGACACGGCCTTAATTTTTTAATCCCTCATCTGCATTCTCTAGTACACAAGGTATGTAACACGGATCATTATTTTTTCCATTCAGTACTCAGCCAATTTTGGCTCATTTTTGTTCCTGGAGATCTCTACTGTGCATCTTATATATACTTAAAATAAATACACCATCTGTAATTGGATCCTAACCAGCCAACACTAAACAATCCTGTCTTCAATGATACTCAAGGTTTGTTTCTAATATGAGCAGAAGGCTCTTCTTTATGCTTTAGCCAGCAATTAATAGAGGGCATAGTTGTTACAAATATGTAACAAAACTTACTATAAAATAATATGAAAAATAAAAAAACACTTTAATTTACACTTTAACCCAACTGGAGAAGATATTCCTAAGCCAGGCAAAGAAAATGTCCAGAAGAAATAGCTATTCAGTAGTTTCCCATTTATCATTTGCTCAGTCACATTAAAACATTTGAAATCTGTATTATTTTTTTCCTTTAGGTGAAGTGCTGAATTTTTCTGAAAGGTTGCATCTTTGTTCAGGATTGCGTTGTTAGGCTTTTGCTTTACAGTGGCCATATGTTTCGGCATATAAATTCAAATCTGAAAAAAAACAGTTACCTGAGATGAGACATGGGAGGTTTGCAGCCCCTTCTCACTATTTCTATTTCTCCTGTTGGCTGATGAAAACAGACCAACCAGCCTCCAACTCTGCTTATTTGCATCAATGCAGAGATATGCACAAATTTTCTGAGCACGCTGTGAGTGGTAAAATATCCTTTAACCTGTTTTTATCCTTCTCTTTTGTAGCCAGCTTCCTGCATTCATTTAAAAAGAGACAAAATAGGAATTATGGTCCTGGTTGTAATCATGACGTTTCATGAAATTAATATTATCTATTATACAAGGATAAGATGACATTACATACTATGATATTTAATTAGCCATCTAATAGCTCTACTGACCTGCTGTATTTCTTCTTTCCAGCCTGCTTTTTATGTTTTGTGCTTGCATGAATTTTTCTCTAATTTTGTTTTCTATTTCTTTCATGTATGAACAGGCTTTGTTACACAGGAACCTGTCAGCTTTCTCTTTGGACTGTACCATCCCACCATCTGCAGATGGGACTGGGTTGCATCAAGGCTGCCTTGTGCTCAGGTATCCCCTAGTGATTCAGACTGTCCTGCTTGCTAGACACTCTCTTGTATGGAAAGTCTTTTCATGTCCCTAGCTGGACATAGGCTTTTGTTAATTCTTCCTATATGTGTATTAACTCAGTTGAGAGACAGAAGGCTAGGGAGGTTGGTGAAATAAAGACTTAATAGTCTAAGGAAAGCAGTTGAGCTGGAACAGTGAAGAGAAGTGGTGGCTGGCACAGGGACAGTTAGGACACACTCCATAGAGGATACCCATCTTCAGCCAGAATCCAATCTTCCTATGGAGCACTCAGTGCTAGAGGAAAAGGCTGAGGATTTTCCATGCGTGATCACTGCAGTCAGAGGAGCAAACTAACAGTTTTGTGGTATGTGGGAATTCCTCCTTTCACTCTACAGAGCTGCACTGTCACTGTTCTTACAGAAATACACTGTGCCAGATGAAAGGAAAACTATTCTCATACTACTTGCTGGCTGTAGGGGAGAGATACGTAGGGGAGGGATCTTTCCCTCCTATTCATGTCTTAGACCCCTGTGAGGACCATATTCTAGCATGGAGGCCAGCAGAAAAATCTGACGTCCCTCATGGCAGAAAGAAAGGAAAGCTTTTTCCCAACAGATGGGCTAGTCATGCCATTTACCCTCCAACCAACTAAAAAGTTCCCTTATGCAAAGTTAAGAAGAGGGAACCAGACAAGCAGAAAGACTTCAGGATTTTTCTTTTCCTTTTCCCACTGCATAGTTAGAGGAATAAAAGCAGATATCTGTGAAAAGACACTGTGGACTGAGCCTGCAGTCTGATAAACAACAATAACCTTTTTCTTGACGCTAATTCCTTTATTATATTTTTAGAAGAATTTAAAAGCCACTTATTATTGAAAACTATGATTTCAGGAAAAAGTATAATTTTCACATTTCCTCTGATGTGTTGTATGCCCTGCTGTGTTATGACATTTCAAGTTTCATCAAGTCACATTAATTTACATTCTCACATGTTTTCTCAGTGGAACCTGCTCTTCGGGTCTATTTTCATTCATTGCTTGATCACTTTAATGTATTTGTATTACTGAATACTTGGGCCATATTAACTGATCTTTTCATACCCCATGCTTGCAATTCATTAGCAATCATTTCTCTTCTCTGCACGAAGAAAGGAAAAAAGAGATGAGAGAGAGGGAACATGAGAGAAAGACAAAGACTTGGGAAGAAAGCGAACAGCAATTTAGTACACAGCCTGGGATGCAGCCTGCTCTGCTGCTTGGGATTTGGTTATATTGGGAAATTTTCTCTGGTGTGACCAGCACAGATTGATGAGCCAGTAGAAACCTGAGTAATAAATGCAGTTAACTGGTGTAAACCATTCTTTATTTCAACTTTTGCAAGCTGGTTCAAAGCAGTGCAAACACGTTTGTGTTAGAGATTTGTGTTTGTGTTAGGTAAAGCAGTCTCTTGGATCCCATTAGTGCAGAAAGCAAATAAATTTTCCAGGCTTGTGCAATGCTGATGTGGGGGAGAGCTGGGCACCAAGCCTGTTTGTGTTCTTGTTCCTCAGCTGTGTTTTAGTTGCCCATGCCTGAGCTGGAGCTTGAGAAGAGGCTCAAATTCCCAAATTTGAGCTCCTAAGTTCAGTCTGTTCAGAGCAGCCAGCACAGCTGATGTACAGTATTGCTATCCTTCATCTCCTGACACAGATAAAGTTCAAATGATAAAACATTAAGCAAGAACCAATTTTGTCTACCCTTTCCCTGTGTTTATTAATGGAATGACTGAATGAACCATAATGTTTCTCCCCCCTCCTGCCACCCTCTTCTTGAAAGTGGCACATGAATACAAAGTAAGTGATCAGGCACTCAGAAAGCTTTGCAGCCTCTCAGTAAACTTCCATTCCCTCCTCAATATAAGGATGCTTGATCTTCCCTGGTAGTGCTTTCAAGTCCTTACTGCATAACACAATGAAAATCAGACAATATGTGCTCTGACATGTGTAGGCAGCTGCTAATCATCCTGTACAGAAACCTGCAGCAGGGGTTTCAATGACGATGCAAGGTGCAAGTCTTTTTCAGCCATGCTGTAGCCAAATCTGATGAAGGTCAGAAGCCTCAGGCTTTGGATGGAAGGGAGTCTCCTGCACTCTAAAAAAATCATGTTGCCTTCAGCTCTCTGCCAGTGAGGAGTACATACAGCTCAGTCCCTCTGCTCTTAACACACTCCCTTGACTTATCCTATATTGAGATGTTGCCTGTAACCCCATCTTTCTGAATTTGCAGCTGAGCTCCGGTATCTACACAAAAGTGGAGCCTGCAGCACCATAGCAAGTTGTGACTTGTATTTCCCCACCTATAAGCGTGTGCATATACACCTACCCCTCCCACCCCTACCTCTGGCAGTGAAGACATCACTTAGAGTCCCTCTCTAATCTCAAGCTGTCCATCACCTGTCCTAAAAGCAGCTCCACCAGTGGAAGGAGACAATGGTGGGGCTCAGGAGTTGTCCAAGATAAATGTTTCTGGCATTTTCATTGCATTGTCATAAAGCTGTTCGGAGCCATCAGGCCACACAGTACTGTAGTGAGAGCTGGATTTCAATACAAACTTCTTCTCTAACCTCTGACAAATCTGTGGGAGCTGCCAGGAAGGTTAAACACTGGTAAACCAATTAGGACAGAGGGGAGAGTCCCATATGTGACCACACAGACAGCCCAGCCTGCCCACTTTGATGTCCTCCTACCTCTGAATGAGGAAGATGATGCTAAAGCTTTCCATAGAGGGTTGAATGGAGCAGCCTGATGTATCAAAGCCTTGGGAAGAGGGGGGCAAGGAAGGCTTATCCTAGCCTGTATTATCACTGATGGCAAGTGATCCAGTGCCACATGCCCAGTAGGGGAGTGATCAGCACAGCCCAGGGTAAGCAGCACAGATATGACAGCACATCTGTTATCCACTGAACACTGGTGACAGAATGGAATGTAATCTCTCTGTTTACATTCAGAGATTAAAGACAACAAGTGGCTCCAGGAGGACGTGCTGTCCTGCAATGGAGAACAGAAAAGGATGCTTATGTAAAATGTCCTGGCAGCAGTGCCCAGGAGGAACAAGTGGACTCATTTTCTCCTGCAGGCAGCACAGAAGCGGATTACTACTGGGGGGAGGGTAGGCAGGAACAGGGAGAGAGAAATTAGGAGCCCAGATGTCTACTCTCTATATGCGGTTTCCAAGGGCTTTGGAAATAAAATAGAAAAACCCCTACTGTTTTGTGCCATGAAGTCAGACATGTATGCAAGGAGTCCACACTTACTCAGGACTGAGATTTTGTTATGTGACCTTAAGCAGAGCTGATCAGCTGGACTGAGTTTCCTCAGTCTTCTCCAACACCTGTGAACCTGAGGCGCAGATTTTGCAGAGCTAAAAGTCAGTCCCTCCCTTCCACTGGGATGCAGCTGTCTAAAGGTCTTGTCTCTCTTAAGGGATCCTGCAGTACAGGGTGGGAGACCTGTAAGGGAAGCATGGGCTGGGGGGATCACCTCATTCACAGCTTTAGCAGCTGCAGTCCATATTAACCCTGCTTCAGGAATCAGTGCCCATGGAGCAATTCAACCCATTCTGGAACCTAAGTGCAAAAAAGGATAAGCTTCTGTTGGCCACAATACAGTCAGTCAGAATATAAAGAGTATTGCTAGTAGTACTCAAGCTTAATTAGGGCTGGGAGCAGGAAAACCAAATGCCAGAGGCTGCCTTACCTTACCCCTTAGAGGAATATGATTCCTGACACTAACAGACTAGAAGAAAAATATAGTTTAGAAGGCTTGTGCCTTCCAAACAGCAGGTGCAGCACTATTGATATCTTAAATAGACTGTGATTGACCTTTTAACTCCTTTTTGTGTCTTTTCTCATGGGAGGTAACAGTCATTTCTGCCATGCTGAAAACAGAAAACTTGCCATATGTGTGTGCCCAAAGGTTTATAAAATAGGAGAGGAGAATAAGAAACAAAAACAAGTGGCACTCTGCTTGCTATTACTCCCCTGGACCCTCCTTGAAGCCACTTTCTGTATCCTTAAAGATGCCATCCTACTGGTGGTAAGCAGCAAGGTGGGAGCCTGTCACAGGAAAATGTGCCCAAGTCCTATTTTACTTACTGCCAGTTGACAGCACGACAGAAAATTATCCCTAGCCAGTCAGCATAGCAAAGTTACTTTTTGAGTGATGTGCACTGCACAGTATATGGAGAGTGAGATCAATGGAGGACAATAGAAATCTAAATTGACAGTACACTAATAATTGTTGGCATTAACTAATCAGATGGGATTTTAAAGTTCACACTGTGAACATTGGTATTTTCTGTGTGATGGGAAGACAGTTTGAACTATTTTTTCTATTAAGTGTTTGAAAGGCTGTTAGAAGAAATTATTACTGTAGTAATCAGAGCTCTCTGTGTGAAACCGTTTCATAGGCTTTGAATTTTGCAAAGCAGGAGACAGTCTGTATTGAAAATAGTATGAGCCTTTACCTGGATACCTAATAACAATGTGAAAGTTATATTTGCCTTAAATCATCTTTTAATTCATTCAGCAATATGCTGTTTCCGTGATAACCTCTGGAAGACAGACAGGGCCCAGGGCAAGGGGTTTCTGCCACCCTCCACTGATGGACCATAACTGCCCTACTCCCCAGCCCCTCTGCAGACTTCACCAGGCAGTGCTCTGCCAGGGTAGAGCTACCCACATAGGCTGTCCCAGGGCTTTGCTGAGGGGAACAGAAACAAAAGGTGCCAGCCCTGGGTGCTTATGATAAACCTGCTAGATGCCACTGGCTTATGTGCCTGCAGCCCTGAGGGACCCTGCATCAGCACCGCAGTGGGTGCAGCTATGTTTGTGTCACATTTATCTTCTCACTGATGAAGGTCAAACCGTATCAGATTTAATGGCACCTTTAGACTACAGTGCACATGGGGTAAGAGATTCCCCTGTCTTTGCACAGGTGCCCAGTGCATCAGCTAGGGTTTATGGAAGAACCTGACTGGTTCTTGCAAGT